ACACACACACACACACACACACACACACACACACACACACATACACCCATAGGTGAAATAAAATTACAAATTTTGTTTTGCTCTGCTTTGTTTTGAGACAGGGTCTCACTATATTGCCCTGGCTGGCCTGAAACACTATGTAGATCAGACTGGCCTCAATGTCACAGAGATCCTCCTGCCTCTGTCTGTGAGCGTTGGGATTAAAAAGTGTGTGCCAACCCATCTAGACAAAAAAAAAAAAAAACTTTTTAAAGAGAAAATGTTATCAATATAAACAAGAAAACACAAAAAGCCTAGCAAAAACAGGTTTGAAAAACATAAAAATTGAAATAAAAATCACAACATATGGCATTGATCACAGAATTGTTGCTAACTATGAACAAATGTGAAAATTAGAAGGTTTTTTGAAAGGAATAAGGAACATGCAAATTCATTATTTTTCTTTATAGAGGCTAATACTAAAAGGAAAACTAAATCTTGAATATCAGAGAATTAATCAAAATAGGGCCAGGTGCAGCAGCACACACCTTTAATATCAGCACTCAGGAGGAAGAGGCAGTCAGAGCTCTGTGAGACCAAGGCCAGCCTGGTCTACATAGTGAGTTCCAGGCTAGCTGGGGATTACAAGTGAGGCAGTTCACAGTGGTAGAGCACTTGCTAGCATGTACAAGGCCCTGGTTCAATTTCCAGCTCAGCAGGGCCAAGAAAGAGACTCAAGAATGAGGCAGCATGCTATTACCTAATTTCTTACATCTATAAACTTTTTCAGATTAAAAAAATTTTAAAGTAGGGGCTTGAGAGATGGCTCAGCAGCTAAAAGCACTGGCTGCTCTTGCAGCATTCCCAGTACCCACATGGCAGCTAACAACTGTCCATAATTCCAGTTCCAGAGCATCCAACGCCCTTTTCTGACCTCCGCAGGCACTGCATGACATGTGTACACTTACACACAACCAATATACTCATACACATAAATAAAAATGATCAATAAAATATTTTTTTAATTTTTTAATGTAAACAGACATGCAGAAATTAAAATTTTTCAAAGATAAGGATATTGTAAATAGGCCCTAAGATATATAAATAACAATTATTAGTTGTAAAGAAAATAAGCTGCAGGAATACTGCATATACACTATGTGGCTGGACTGAATAGCATTTTCAAAGTCACAACTTTGCAAATGGTGAATGTTTAGCTACAGATATGATGTATGGCTTGTCAGGAAGACAGAGACATGGAAAGGCTGCAAGTATCTGGTAGGGATGAGGGAGCAAAGAGAGTTAAATCATTATGTGGGATGCCAGAGCCAATGTGCAAAAGAGTAAAAAGTGATTAAACCAAGCTGGACGTGGTGGCACACCTTTAATCCCAGCAGAGGCAAGTGGTCTACAAAGTGAGTTCTAGGCCAGCTGGGGTTACAGGGAGAGACCCTGTCTCAAAAAGACCCCCCCCCCAAAAAAAGATTAAACTAAAAGTAGAGGTAAATGACAAAAATAAATAAATTACCATAAATGAAGTGACAGTGGGTTTTGTTGTTTTTTTAAGGAACATGCAGAATTTTTTCCTTTACAATCTTTCAGAACAATCTGAGCCTTCAAATGATGTCACATGTATTTGGTATTAAAATAGATACTAATGAAGAGAAAAGAACCCAGAGCTCCAGAGAGCTGGACACTGCACCTTCCCCAGCTTCTCGAAAAAGAACCACTAAACCCATGGGAGTGCCAACTTTTTCATTCTCATTCACCACTGGTACAAGACAAGAGTGCACAGAGATCCAGTTAAGAACAAGTGTAATTTCCCATCCTTTTCTCCCAATGCTGGCAACTTAAGCTAGTCCTGTGCTAAGCACAAGATTTGGTTGGGGGCTAAGTGCTAACTTAGCCAAAGTTGCCAAGGTGACTTTCTGTACATTTACTTTCTCCAACCTTATGAGAAATGAGGGTTTTTTTGTTTGTTTTCAGAAATAATGGCTCTACTCAGCACTGTGAATACTGATAGCATCCTAAAATCTGCAGTGCTTCCTCATCACATGCACATGTTACAGCATGAAGATGGGGTCCTAGTACCAGTACCTAACAGTAATACTTGTGCCGTTACAGATTTCCATCTGCCTGACTCTTTCCAAGACCTTAACTAAGGAAAGCTAGACACCCAATCCTGTTCCCTTATTTGTGATCTGAGACAAGAGCCACTAGTGTTTGACATTCAAATATTTGTTCCTGTTCCTTATACAGAAGTCCTGAGATGGAGTTTCAGTGGCAGAGACAGCAAAGACACTACATATATGAAAGGAAATGACAGTTTAGAAGCCACTGTACCTTCAGCATGTAGTAGAAGGGGAACCATGACAGGAAGAGATCTGAGAAGAACTCCGCAATGCTGAATACACCATACACAACCCAGTAGGTCAGCCACTGAGTATCATCATCTTTGTTGGGACTCTCTATGGCTTTCATTCTGAAAAGCAATTCAAAAGAAAATACATCATTTGGTAAGATCTCAAGGAAACATTTGCAGTCATTATTTTTTTGCAGCACGAAGAAACTCAGACAAATGTTTGTACTGTATCACTAGACGCAAAAGTACAACATAAAGACACAAAGCATGTGGAAATATCAGAACATGCCATTTATCACTGCTTATTCCCACTCTTCACCAGCGAATCCAGCACTAGCTGTCACCTTCTGGGGATTCCTCCTGCCAGAGCCTCCAGCCAGCCCTAGAATGCACCAGAGTGATTGGAAACGAGAGAAATCCCCACCCTTAGGCTGAGTCCTGCCTCCAAGGTAGGAAAAGCTCTCAGATGGTAACTAGCTTCTTATGTATTTAAAATTTTTTTAGAGAAAAAGAGAAAGACGAGTATGGGCATGCCATCACAGGCATGCAGAGGCCAGAGGACAATTTTATGGAGTCAGTTTTCTCTTCCTACCTTTCTACATACTGCCTAATACATAAAAAAGAACCAATATCATGATGACCATTTAGTTCAGACTATCCTTATGAGATGTTCAGGCAGTTGTCTGTCCTCCTGTCATCAGCTAATAACATGACATCTCCAAGCCTAACTCCTGCTTAGAAAAATTTCATTCTGAAAATGAATGGAAATAAACTTTTAAATAACCTTTTGATTCTAAATCACATAAATTTCCTTCTGTCCTAGGATCCTAGTTATTCTACTCTAATATACATCAATATATTTATAGTAACTGAAGTAGAGCTGGGCATGGTGCTACATGCCCATAATCCCAGCATTCAGAAGGCTAAGGCAGGAGGATGTCAACTTCAAGGTCAGTCTGGGCTACACAGTCAGTGACTGCTCTGACTGACTGACATAGTGAGACCCATCTAAAGTGTGTGTGTGTGTGTATATATATATATATATTTTTTACACTAAAAGAATAAGCTATAAGAAATCTGAATTTTGTTTAGCTTGTATGCTAGATTAACTACTGAAAACACATTTCTTATTCTTTAAAATCAGCTCCCTGGCTACACATTGTAGCTAGCACAGGTCAATAATCTCAGCAACTGGGAGAAAAAAGCAGGAGGATATAGATTTTGACTGTGTAGTGAGTTCAAGGCCAGCCTGAGTCACATGAAACCCTGCTTCAAGAAAACAAAACAAAAAGAGTAAGAGTTTTAACCAGGTATGTTGGCACACACCTGTAATCCCAGCACTCAGGAGGCAGAAGCAGGAGAATCACTGCAAGTTCGAAGCCAGCCTGGTCTATACAGTGAATTCCAAGCAGCCAGGGCTACATGGAAGCCTGTATCAACTCCTCTCAAAAAATAAAAATAAGTAAGTTGCAGACTGCTAAATCATGCTGAGCCACCCACTAAAAAAGCCCCAGGATCCAGGAGTTCAAGGCCAACCTGGACTACATATTATAGCACATTTGAGGCCAGGATGAACTTAAGACCATGTCAAAAAAAAAAAAAAAAACAGGAAATTATAGGAAACCAAGGTACATACGAGCACTACTAAATGGACTCAGTACTCAGCAGGCTGCACACACACACACAAACATATATATGTACTAATAATAATTTAAAAGTTCAGGAAATTAAGAGGAAGGTTCAATGAAAATGATGTAAATACAAATACAGTACTCAAGTATGAAATTCTCAAAAAAATACAAAATTTAAATTAAAAGGTTTTGTTAAATCAAAGTTTTTATTTATTATTTTTATTTTATGTATATGAGTGTGCTGCCTGCATGTATGTAAGTGCACCCATATCGTGCAATGCCTGTAGAGATTAGAAGGCGGCTTTGGATTCCCCTGGGATTGGAGTTACAGTTTTTAGCCACTATGTGGGTACTGGGACTCAAATCCAGGTCCTCTGCAAGAGCAGCCAATGCTCTTAACTGCTGAGCATCTCTCCAGTCCCCTGAAAAAGATATTTTATGGAACTTCTCATTATGGAAGTTTATTAACTTTATTTTTTTAATATTTCATCTTATTTATTTATTTTTGTCTTTTTTGAGACAGGTCTCCTTGTAGCCCCAGCTGTCCTAGAACTCACTATGTAGACCAGGCTGGCCTTGAACTCACAAAGATCCGCCTGCCTCTGCCTCCCAAGTGCTGGGATTAAAGGTGTGTACCACCACGCCTGGCTTTATTTATTATTTTTATTTTATGTGTATGAGTGTCTTGCCCGCATGTATGTGAGTGCACCCATGTCCTGCAATGCCGCAGAAGTCAGAAGAGGGCTTCAGATTCCCCTGGAACTGGAGTTAATGACGGTTCATAGCTGCCATGTGGGTGCTGGGAATTGAATCCAGGTCCTCTGCAAGAGCAGTCAGTGCTCTTAACCACTGAGCCATCCCTCCAGCCCTGGAAGTTTATTAACTTTAAAAATGCAATGTTCGTGCTTTAAATATGTATCTACCATGACATAACATCATAAGCCATTTAAAACAAGACTGTAAATGACAGGCTAGCCCACTCAAAAAGATGGGGCTGCCATGTAGTCAGGGTGAGAGAAGAAATCGTCACTCTGAGCTCCTTAGACAGCATCTCAGTAGACTCCTGGTCCAAGTGAGTAGACACTGCAGACTCTCCAGTAACACACTCTACTATCTTAAACATACACAGAATCATATCTCAATGGAATGTATTAGAATGAAGCTGGAGCAACTTGTCTAGCAACAAGAAATTCGAGAAAACCCAAGATGCAGTGCAGTCCATGTCTTCGGGTCACTTGCAGTCTAACCAGAACAGCCAAGTTAAGGAATGGCAGGTTGAAGTAGGAACCAGCCTTCAGGACAGCCTGATGGTATGGGTATTTTTGAGAGGAAGAACTGTGGCTTAGAGAAGAGAAGTAACATGTGCCACAAATAGCACAGATAGGGCTTCTGCCTACTCTATCTTCAAAGCCTATGCCTATTTCACAATCACATGCTATAATCACATGTATCATCAGCCAGACAGCTCTTAGCGAATCCTACTAGGAGAACCCTGTGTCAATAAAGTTAATGGTTCTATAAATATAATATCGATGTCAAATACAATACCATAAAGTTTCAACTTAAGCCTGAACTACTTTTCAAGAACCTATTTCCAAAAGTCAGGGACTAAGAAGTCTCTCAGTGGTATAGCACAGGTGAGGCCCTGGGTTCATCCACAGCACTGTCGTTTACCTTAAGCTCAAGGACCTCACAACTTAGATGGGGAAAAACTTCAAGTACTCTTTAAAAGAGAGTCACATCAAGAAGTAGAGGGCACTCTGACTAGATCACCACCTGACCAAACTATCAAAAGCAGGATATA